TGGGGACTCCCTGTTCGTTGAAAATGTACACTAACGGCCCCTACACACGGCGGCGTGCGTTGCCGCTTCAACGCTTCTGCCCATTCACTTTGAATGGGGTGAGGTCACGATTCGCCGAACTGCATTGTGGGAGCAAAGCGTAGCTTCTCTCGCGGTGCTCGCTGCAAAAGTAGAGCAATTTTCTACTTTTGACGCCTCGATGGAGGCGTCAGCCAATCCAATCATATGCCAGTAAAAGCTCTAGCCAATCAAACCGCGTGCTTGTGTGTCTGGGGCGGGAGATTCATGTGATTGGTTGCTGGTCGAGTTTCAGCCCCCCCCCCCCGTCAGCGAGCGACAACGCACGCCGCCGTGTGTAGGGGCCGTAAAGGTCCTGGTGTGTGAGGAGCTCCGGATTGGTCCATTTTGGTTCCCGGAACCAAATGGAAAAAGAGAAATCTCCAACGAGGCGTTCTGGGGCAGCATAGACAGGTATTTTCTGTGCTAATTTTACTCGCTACAGGGTGTACTTTGAGGGTGTGTGACTGCAGACCGTTTATAAAAACCCACAAGGGGACGGGTAATAACCAGAAAAGCATGACATGGGACCTTTAAGAAATGAAGCAGTAATCTGATTACATCTTCTTTGATGTAACTGTAAAGGAATACAGTTAGCTTGTTTGTATCCTGATTGCGTGATCCTTTTACCGTACATGTCATCTGTTACTCCCAAAGCCTGAATACGTCAAATGTAGCGTTCTAGCTCCCTACCACAGGCCTTTATAACTGTTCTCATGTCTGCCCCTGTGTTCAGCTCCAGTACATACCAGTCAGTCGGCCGGACTGTGGGTGTCAGATACACGCAGGGAAACTGGGAAGGTGAACTGGGCATCGACCGCGTCTCTATCCCCAACGGCCCCAACGGGACCTTCATCATCAACATCGCTGCCATCCTGTCCTCCGAAGGCTTCTTCCTCCCCGGGATCAACTGGCAGGGCATCCTGGGTCTGGCTTACCCCATGCTGGCACGGGTAAGAGATTTTAAAATGTAGAGTAGCTGATACTTTGATTTACAATCAACACTGACAGTATAAATTCACCCCGGTAAGAGTCATTTGCAGATGCACTGGTCAAACCATCAAAAGAAAGCATGTACGGTTTATTCTACTACATTTAGTCTATTTGCAGAAGTAACAGACACATTGAAAACTTAAGAGTGAGCACACAGAGAGCATAACAAAAAGTGATTCGATAAAATCTGTTTTTTTAAGTTAATTCTGAATTATGTCATGACTTCCTGCTGTCACACATGTCTGTTAAACATGAATAACTTTTTTAAACTGAGATCTTATCCAGGTGTAGTCAGGGACCTTTCACAGGACAACAGAAACAGTTTTGTGTTTATGATTTTCAGCTGCAAGGCGTATTAATTACATTTTTTTCTTTAATATAGATTTCCAGTTTAAGTTGCTTTGCCCAGCGTGTGCTTTGGATATTTAGTGTTGAAGAGACTGTAATGACGTAAACCGGCACAATGCATTCTTTCATTCTGTGCCGACTACAGCGACTTTTAGGACCACATGCCAGTGACCGCTGGGCAGATAAACGCACGCTGATCACTTGGTGCTGCTGCCGTCTCCTCAGGTTAAACTTCCTGAGACGTCTGGTCATGACATGATAACACAACACTGACATGAAAACCTAACAGCAGGGAGAGCATCCTCACACCATCGTACACATGTGGTCAGAATATCGTTTCAATCAGAACTTCGATTAGCTAACGCTCCATCACGTTGCAGGTGATAGGCTTAGGGGCATACTTAAGCAGTTAACCAATCGCAACCGAGACAGAGAGCAGACTTGGCTCTGGTTTAAAAGGAAAATGTAACATCTTATAACATGAGTTAATTATTTCACACTGTCTCTCATCTAGCCTGACTCGTCCGTGGAGCCTTTCTTCGACTCCTTGGTGCAGCAGCTGGGAATCCCAGACATCTTCTCCCTCCAGATGTGCGGTGCTGGGCTGTCAGCCAGCAGCACAGCGGACCCCATAGGAGGCAGTCTTGTGAGTAGTCAGGAGGGGCTGGGTATGACTGTAAAGTTTGCACAAAGAACAAACCTCTGACCCAAACAGTCTGTGGAACATCATATTGGAAGTAAACTTCACTACATCATTTTAAAGTTACTAAGTATTATGGTGATTGAGATTATTAATGCAAAATGTAAAAATAAAGAAGAAATTATTTTTGCATTAATAAAGGTAAATCTAACCAGCAGAATATAAGGTATCTTAAAATTGCACAACAGCATACATGGCAACTCACAATAAGTGCAGTTAACCATCAAGATACAAACTCGGAACAACAAGAAAAATGCATACATCATACTCACTTCAAATGGGCCATACCCTCGTTAGTGCTGTTGGTTCATTAGTTTAAAAAGCAAGTTGGTGGATACCTGGGTCGCATTCGCAGTGAAGGACAAGCACGTCCATTTGGTTTAAGAAACACCTTTTGTTAGATCTCTAAAACATAAAAGCTGCTGTCCTCCTCAGTGTGGTTCCTCTCCTGCAGGCCCGGTGTAGTTAGAGTCGAGCTAATTAAGCTAAGATAGCATCCTGCTGAGAGCAGGTCTGTCACTGTAATACTCCAGCAGGTGACCCACTGACTCAGGCAGATGGATCACATGGCAGGGAGCTTGGGTTTATGAATTCTCTTAAACTGTAGAGGGATTATATACACTTAATAATACTTATTTAGATTTATGTCTAAAAACACGAGTGGAGAGGAGGGCAACCGTTGTTACCGTGACAACCATTCTGTTTCACGTTGGTGATCGGGAGCCTATATTCCTGTCCTAAAATGTAAATGCATACGTGCTGCTTGTTCTGACAGACAGACTCACATCAATAGCACCGACTTTTCTTTATATATTATGGTTTTGACGCATATTTTGTTCTTCCTCAGATCATAGGCGGGGCTGAGCCGGCTCTGTATCAGGGGTCCGTGTGGTACACCCCCATCGTAGAGGAGTGGTACTATCAGGTGGAGGTTTTGAAGCTGGAGGTGGGCGACCAGAATCTGGACCTGGACTGCAGAGAGGTACAGTTCAAACTAATGCATTCCTTAAAGCAGACAAGTCGATTGTATCAAGAGTAACCATGGTTTGGAGGGTTACTCTGTGATAACCTCCCCCTCAGGAGCCGGTTGAACTGAACTGCTCTTACACTGCACTGCTCCGTCTCTTTCAGTACAACACGGACAAAGCTATAGTCGACAGCGGGACGACACTGCTCCGTCTTCCTGTCAACGTCTTCAACGCGGTGGTAGACGCCATCACACGCACCTCTCTGGTAAGGGATGAAACGTGTTGTCAGAGGGAAGCGATGCAGGGGAGGATAGCTCACGCTCAGCGCTCAAGGACGCAGAAGCTTTGAGGGGAAGGATCACACGTTTTCCCGCTGTAAAAAATATGTGTGTGTATGCCTGTTGTTTTTCCTCCTCCAGCTGCTTTTCACATATTTCGCCTTTTTGTAGCTGCACACAAACAGAGCCCAAGGTTCATTGGAAGCTTGAAGCAACATTTTAATTAATGGACCTTGCAGATGAATCCCAAGTGGGTAAATGAAAGGAAACAGAAAGCCTGTGTTGTTGCTGAACTGACCTTCTGTCTCCCTCTGTTCCCGTGTTGTTTCTCTTTGGTTCAGATCCAGGACTTTTCATCAGGGTTCTGGGATGGCAGAAAGTATGCGTGCTGGTTGAAGGGAGAGACGCCCTGGAGGTTTTTCCCCAAACTATCCATCTACCTGAGGGCCACGAACACCAGCCAGTCCTTCCGCATCACCATCCTGCCTCAGGTACCTGGATAGACACAACATCCCATCACCCCGAGGGACACAAACCCTCTTCTTCGGTACTCATTCTCCTCTGTCGTCTCGCAGCTGTACATCCAGCCAATCACAGACGTGGACGGCACGTTGGACTGCTTTCGTTTCGGACTGTCGTCGTCAGCCAATGGCCTGGTGATCGGTGCCACCGTTATGGAGGGCTTCTACGTGGTGTTTGACCGAGCCCAGCGGAGAGTGGGCTTCGCTCTCAGTAACTGTGCAGGTGAGGGTACATGAGACGACTATTGATAAGAGATAAAGGGTCTGGAAAACAGATCATTTAATGATTCCCAAAACTGTAAATTAAACTAATTGGTTATTGTGTATATCAAAATATGGTTAGAATGGTAATCTGCCAACAAGAGGGTTTTTCTCCATGAAGTATTACAGATTGTGGATTGTGGAAAATGACCATAATATGTCCTCTTTAACTTCCCACACTTTACAGTCTTGCTGTGAAGTGCCTTGTTCAACTGGTTACTTATGGAGAAGTAGAATGTATTATTTACCAGTACTCGCAGGTTCACTGACCATAACCCTGAGTATATCCTGTTAATCAAGTAAATGTTAAACCTTAGCAGCTTTCCTGTGTTTCTATGTAAATATAAGCTTGGGCGAGGCTTTCCTCTCTTTTATTAAAGTACAAAGATCACTTTTGTTCCGTATTAAGCAAACAGACTGAAGGATGCAGGCTTGTGACAGGAGGGTTGCCAGCTTTCATTTCTGTACTGGCTGGTTAAATCTCAAAAGAAAATAATTGTTCTTCTCATCCTCAAATGTTAATGAGTTGCCTTTGAGTAAAACAAATACCCTTAAATGAAAAAGCTACCACAAATATCATGAGAGCGATTATTCATTTAGTTTTACAAAAAACGATATGTATGCAGTATGCACATGTTTGAGATACATTTGTTTAACTGTATTTAGGACTGAAATTGTACTAATTATATAGTGCAATAGTCAGTGTCTGGGGGTATCAGGAAGAAGCATGGGAGTTTTTGTCTTAACCGCCATTGGAGTCAGCTTCTCCCGGTTAAGATTAATTAATAAAAACACTGAATAAAGCAGTTTCACATAAAACAAAATCTGTTTTTGAGATACGGCTCATGCAACTGATGTTTCAAAGGGGTTGGAGTTGTGCTAAAATGTCCTCAGCTTGCTTCCATGAAAATGTAAAAAACTTAAATCATGACAGTCTTACAACTGGATAACATTTATGACAGACTTTGGGAGGAGTGCCTCGGAGAGAAACTCCCTCTGAGGGAACTTTGGGATTTAAGCATTTGCAGACTATTTACATCACAAACCTATAGAACACACTACAGGAAAGGGAACGCCCCCAAAAGAAGAATAGGGGCTCTTTAACACTTTCCTATCCTGTGTTCCTCCTCAGTGAGCGGGGGGGTGGCCCTCTCAGAGATCGCGGGGCCCTTCTCAGCAGCAGACGTGGCGTCTAACTGCTCCGTGGGGCCTCAGAAGGAGCCCCTCCTCTGGATGATCTCCTACGCCCTGATGGCGGTGTGCGCGGTGATCCTGGTGGTGCTGCTGCTGCTGCTGGTGCTGCCCTGCCGCTGCAGAGCGCGCTCCGGGGAGATCACCGACGAGTCCTCGCTGGTCCGACACCGCATCAAGTGACTGAGAGGGAACGGGCCGAGGAGCAGCGAGCAACACACACAATCCACGGAGGCGGAGAAAGTTGTGACGCTCGCCGCCGAAAGCCTGACTGACACTAAACTGCACTCTTCAGTTTTACCCCATGGAGGTACACACAGACAGATAAACTGACCCCTGATGGGAAAATCCATCACAAAAACATTGTCTTAAAAACATTGCCTAAAAACAGCTGTTGTGGTCTTCATGGTTCAAATGTTTTCTTTGATGGTGCCTCTTTCTTGTTCTCACAACACGTCATATGTGACAAAGAAAATATGCAATTTCCACAGCGACTGCAGCTTTAAAAGTTCATAACGTTTGTAGCTACAGGACAGTTTTTACTGATGGGTATGAGTTGCTTTTTCTCACCTGGAAACTCTTGTTTGCTCTCAGTATTGCAACTACACGGACTCAATTTGAGTGCAGTTTGAAAGAGCACTAAAATCAAATTCATGCTTTTTTTTCTTGAGACCTCTCAAAAGGTATTCTGGGAAATGTAGGACATCTTCCTCACAGACAATCACAAGATGCTTACCAACAATTGATGCATTTTGAACAATTTTATAACTACTGATTTTGTCTCTCTAGGCAAACAGTGTTTTGTTCATGTCTAAATGCAACAATGTGCCTTCTCAGTCTGATTTACTACAGTGTGTGATCAATGAAGGAATGCTTCTGGTGCCTTCTTATATAAAGTGGTGCAGGAATTGTGTTTTTTTTGTAGGCTGTCCAAGAAGTTAGCATGGCAAAGGGCTCCCTCTTCAAAAAGCAGTTCGATTTTTCATTGGATTTTGCAGAAATATTAACTCTACTTTGTGATTTCTGAAGTAAAAAGCTAACATTAGGCAATAAAGGAACTACAGTACGGTCACATGACTTCCCATCGCTAAGCTAAAGGCGGCTAATGTTCGTTGTGATGACGTTTAGTCGTCACATTTAGACACTCGTTAGCAACAGCTGTTGAGTAAAGCGGAGGTGGTGAAATGCGGACCCCTTTCCGTCTATACGGACCACTCTATTTTGAAGTTAGGTTAAATTGAAAGCCTGCCTGTGTGTGTTGGAGTTGAGAAAAGCTGCTCAAACGATCACTGTTATTAGAAGAATATTTGTTCACACGTTTACAGATCCTGTAGTGCCTTTGAGTCTCTGCTCACACACTGGCCGTTTCTCAATGTTGAGTACACCTGCTGCAGAGCCACTATTTCAACTAATACTACGCCATCGAGTGGCGCCGAAGGACCCAGCATTCGGCGCCACTCGATGACGTAGTATAGTTGAAATAGTGGCTCTGCAGCAGGTGTACTCAACATTGAGAAACGGCTGCAGATACACACAATCAGCTGTTGGAGACGTCATCTGCTGAAATGCACTTTGTTTCTTAAGTCAATCAAAAGTGTATAATGAAACTAGAGATCAGTATTTCTTGATCTGTTATGCAATTTAATTGTACTACTAATTCTGTCTACGTTTATTTAAATGTAATTGTATTGTAATCCCAAATCGTTAATTTTTAGACACTTCTGTAGGTATTTATACTGCATTTCTATTTTATACAAACACTACAATTAGAGGCAACATTATTTTTGAATATGAGACAAACACACACTCCTTCAGTGGACTACGATTAGCTGTGCTGATGTGAGCAATAAAACATTAGGTGTCATTTTACACTAGACTAGTGACAGGTCATACGTATACTTTAATGAGTAAATATGACGCATGCTACAGTAGATCTCAATGTCTTTCAAAATTCAAAGTTGTCTTTGAATGTTGGCTTATTTATAAGTGATATCTTTGGTGCCAAAATCCTGCTTGTGCCGCAAACACTTGTGACCAAATCAAAAATGTAATGTAATAAATGAATAAAGATGTCTTTGTGTGAGAAAAATCAAGAACAAAAGCATCCTTTAGGAGACAGTGGGGACAAGTTTGATGTGACTTGTGAGAGAAATCTTGTGGTTTTTACATTTAATGGCTAACATACATATTAAAGGTCCCGTGTCATGACCATTTCTACTGATCATAATTCCATTGTTGAGGTCTACTAGAATAGATTTATATTGTGCAATTTTCCAAACTCACACTGGTTTCTCATACAGCATCTCTGTATAGTATGTGTATTCACTCTCTGTCCTGAACGGCTTGTTGGAGCTCCTGCCCCTCCCCCTCCCTATGAGCCCACTGTGCTCTGATTGGTCAGCTCGCCCACTGTGCTCTGATTGGTCAGCTCGCCCACTCTGTTCTGATGAGATCACCACCGTTACAGCGGAACATCAGTAATAATATGTTACCATGGCGTTTGTTACCAACCAGAAAATGACACCAGTAATGAAAACAGATGAGAATGCTGCGTGGGGTCTGGGTGCCGTGTTGGCGGGACGTTGCGCGGCTCGCTGCTGCGAGGAGCAGACAGTGTGAGCTGAGTTCATTTCCTGCTTGCTGCGTGGGGTCTGCGAGACAGCGAGACATCGCGAATGGACGCGGGAAGGAGGGGATGCTGAGGGGGCTGCAGCACCCCCATCTGCGAGGCTCCACTAGCACCCGCACCACCAAACGCGGTGCACCTACACAGTTGGTTTCGCCGCAGCGAAGCTCCCCTAGCACCTTTCTGTGTTAGAGTTTTACTCGCTACAGGGTGTACTTTGAGGGTTTGTGACTCTGCAGACCGTTTACATGTATAAAAACCTTCATAACACACAAGGGGACGGATAATAACCGGAAAAGCATGACACAAAAATATTTACACAAAAAAAAAATCTTCAAAATTCACAAAAATATATAAAAATGGAACAAACATAATAACTGTTAATTAAAGACAAAATAGAAGAAAGAAATACATTTAAGAAATGATAAGAACACATTGTTAATTTGAGCTTCTTCATATAGAGCAAAAACATTCTGCATTAAATTATGAAAGAACAGCAATATATAGGCAATAAGTTATATTTCTGATACACATATTAAGACTGATTAAAAAAAGTTTCTCTGCACAAAAATGTATCTGAAATGGTTCATCGTTGGTTCCGTGATCAGCCATCTTGATGCTTCTGTTGAGGAAAAAATATATTTAAAAATGAGTTCCAGTAGGGATAAAGTTGTTTTAAAGTCCCAATAAAGATTAGTAACACATTATATAAACTCTGCTTGAATTGAGAATACAAAGTGAAGATATTAGCCCTGTATATTAGACAAACAGAACATGGAGCATTTAGTGGAATCTGATGTTTGCTACCTCCGCGACCCGACGCGGATAAGCGGGAGAAGATGGATGATATTTGTAGAAATAATTTTTTTTTTTTTACCTTCATCTGATGATAAATCCAGTCCAGGAAGTATGTTACGTTTCCATAAACTCCTGGTCTGTTCGGCTCTTTGCAGTGTTCTCCCCAAATATTGTCCCCTATGAGCCACCATACTCCGTCCTTCAGGGACACCAGAGGGCCACCGCTGTCAGTCTGAGACGAAACACAAGTGATATTTTTATAAACCAGACTATAGATAAGTGCTAGAACACCATATTCTACTTAAGTAAAAGCAGCAATACTACACTGTAAAAACACTCAAGTAAAAGTCCTGCATTTAAAATTATACTCAAGTAAAGTACAAATCATCAAAATATACTTTAAGGGGCTTTTTTATGCTTTCCCTTTCCTGTAGTGTGTTAGTTTATTGTGCATGTTACTGGTCTGCAAAGACTAAAATCCCTGTGTTTCCTTCAGTGGAAGTTTCTCTCTCCCCCCCCCCTGCCTAAAGCGCCTCCATTGGACTCCTTTGTTTACTTTCTGAACATAGTGACATCACTGGTAACACTTGTGTTTCTATTTGCTAGCGCTCCAACACATTGTACGCGATAGGCTAAGGGGCGGGACATCTCTAAGCGGTTGAACAATCACAACAGAGCCGGCCAGCTAACCGATCAGAGCAGACGGAGCTCTGGTTTCAAACAGAGGGTGAAAAGAGGTGAGCGTTTAGCTTAAAAGAGCCTCTTTAAGAACATGTTCTCAGTTCTTCTTCCACCTCTCTTCCAGAAATGCTTTTTATTCAGCATTAAAAGGTCTTCCAAGGTTTTCTCAGGAGTATAAATGAAACATGATATCATGGTCAGCTGCCACCTCAGCACTCTGACTTTGCATTCATTGTTGATTTGAGTGTATGAGCGGTTTGTTTTGAGTGCGTGTGTAACTATTTTTCTAAAGCTGTTGCCATGACCACAACATAATGCACTTCTTCTTTGACGGAGCCTCGAAGCTTGTTACCCAAGAGCATGGGAATGCATCGGCCTCTTTGAAGAACAGGAAGTGCAATTTGTGAAAGAAAAATTGAATTGTGCCGGAAAATATGAGATTATAAAGAGCGTTTGTTTTTCTTCGTTCGGAGTACATTTCCACAGGATTACTCGGCTTTATTTAAAGAATGTATTTACAGCTAACGCCTAAACATATTAACCCCGCGGCAATCACACTGCAACCATCTGGGACTTCCTGTACAAATCAAATAAACTGCATTTTGTGAAACGTCTTAGTGTCTTCATTGATACAAAATGTGATATCATTTATTCATCCCGAATTGGGAAATAGTTTTGGCACAGCAGCAGAAAGTAAACGGGTATCACACACACAAGTTAAAAATATAATAAAAATACAATAAAAAAAAGAAAAAAAACAGGAAATATATAAATACACACAGTAGAGAATATATACAGTATATACATTAAGCATCTAAAGAATACATACAATAAAAAATACTGAATAAATTAGAATACTGAAAAATACTAAATTAAGAATAGATAAATAAAATAATATTAATGTATTTCCACAAAAAATGTAAAAATTCTAATAATAATTCATATATAAATGAATATATAAACTATAACATATACATATATATTTAATTTCCCACTCCTCTATGAGAAAGGAAAGTGTGTTTTTCTTACGTGGCACATGTTGATTCCTGCGGCCGTTGCTGAGGCACAGAACATGTCCGGAGTTATCCTCCCGCTGTGAGAGGTGGAGCGGTTACAGTTTGCAG